TGTAAGCACAAAAAAATGAATCCTTTTTTAACCCTCCAACCCAATGCCTTGCCCCATAGACTGCTATTGTAAGTGAATTGCAAACGAGGTTTTTGTTTTTTACACCCACCAAGGGACGAGTCAATGAGTTGTCTGTGATAATCAACAGCGTGACACAGATGCAATCAATAGAGCTTAACTTGAATGGTACCCGGAACATTTCTTTAATATATGATAGGAATTATACCAAATGGAATTCAGCAATAGAAGCTTGTTGGAACTATTGAACAAAGTGACAAACTAGTAAGCTGAAACCCTTAGTGGTATCGATTGCTATTGAAGGAGGCTGTCTGACCTTTGTTTGACCTTGGGCTTGTGGAAATGTGTTCATTACTTTGCGCCACAAACTGATCTTTGTCATTACTGTCTGCTGATAGCGTTCTCCACAACTGCATCTCTAGCGTCTTTTTCCCTTTGGAATGTTGTAATGGTTAATCGTGAACTTCAGTTTGAGCATTACACTGATAAAGATCTGGTCTTTTCTCCTTTGTTTGTCATGAATCTTTGCTGTGAGGATTGCTAGTAATCTCTGTGGGGAAATATGGAAGAGATGTTTACTGTATAGACTTTGTCAGAACAATATCTGCAATAAGTTATTTAATATTTATTATTACCTGACCTTCAAATTTGACATGCTTTTCTTGGTTTTATTGTCACATGACAAGTAAATGACTTCCTGCGCTTAGTTCCTCCACAATGGCTTTAAGTGGCAGATTAAGTACTTTTTTTCAGTGATTTCAAACTTTTAATGAGAATTTTTTTAACGATCTCAGGCACAGTTATACGACCTTGACATTTTTGCCTCATAAAATATCAGAAATTGAAAACATATTCATTATAGAAAATGTGTATTTGAGTCATTCAAGTCATCATGCTTTTTATTTATTTATATATCTTTCTATTTATGATGTCATTTAAATGTATAAATTAATATATAAAGATATGGTCTGTATAATTTGCGCAATACATTATTTAATTGAAAATATATAATTGAGTGTAACATCATTGACCCATAAACTCATATTGTCAGTATGTTGTCTATGATCGTGTGTGTTTGTGTGAATGTGGGTGCCCTCGCTTATGCCTCGCATCCATATGTGTGTCTGTTTATTTACAAGAGCTGGAATGTGTGCGTGTGCATATGTGTGTGGGTGAATCTGCACATACTCGTGCTCGAGTGAGAAACACAGTGTGTAATGCTCAGCTCATTATGTTTCATAGTTCAGTAAATTTTGATGAATAGAGGAGTGTTCCCTCTCTCAGGACCTGCCACATCGGTCACGCCGAGAGCCATCTGTGCGATTGGGCTTCGCTCTCATGCATACTACATCTCATGCCTACAGGAGTTCAGCGCCTTTACTTTTAAGGCTCTAATGTATCTATTGTAATATACATATACAAAATGTCACACTGGCAGGATAGAACAAGTGCCAGTTATGAACTAAAAATCATGTAAAAGGGTCACTTTATAATTAGTAGTAGTAATACTAATATTATTAGTATTATTAGTAGTAGTAATAATAATTTTATTATCAAAATAATATTGTCTCCAATGTCTACTTGTAAATTGGCTTAAACATGATCATAATGTTATCTATATACATTATCAATATAACAAAAAAATGGCTTCAACACAATGGCATCATTAAATAATATTTACAATATTTACTCCACTGTCTACTTGCTGTATAATATTAAGTTGTCTAAAATATGATCGTATGTATTGTCAATATCTAGCCTATTTATAACGAAAAATAATCAAATGGGATCGTTAAATAATACATAAATATTCTAGGGTTTATTATTATTGTTGTTGTTGCTGTTGTTGTCAAAATATTATTATTTGTCACTGTCTACTTATAATATTAATTGGGCTAAATTATGATCATAACATAGTGACATTATCTATATAACAAAAAGAAAATAATCAAATGGCATAATTAAACAATAAATAAAACATTTTAGGGTTTGTTGTTATTTATTTATTTGCTATTATTGTTATTATTGGTAATTAATTATTTGTTTGTCATTACGTCTACTTAGAATTTTAATGATTTACTAAAAGCATATAATAATCATGTACTGGCCATATTCTCTATATTGAAAATAACTATTTTGACATATAAACTGTGACATAATATTAGTCATTCAGTATGATATTGGTCATACCAACCCAACCCTATTATGACCTCTTTAAATTACAGCATTGTGCAATATTTAAATGTACAGGTTTGCACAAATCAATTACATTAAACTTCCTCTTGCTTTGAGTAAAATTGTCCTTATAGACTCCTTATTGTTCCTTATAGGTTAGGCAGGTATCTCTCTTTAGGAGGTGTCTCTGTATTGTTACCTTTGCTTTTTATCTGTATTGTCTGTTATCATCTACATCTACATCTACTGTTATCATCATTATATGTTATCATCTACATTTTCAGCAAAGTCTGTGGGCAGAGAATCTGACGGCCAAGAGCCTTCAGAAGAACCTGGAAAAAAAATTAACACAACACTGCCTGCATTCTTCTAAGACGAGAGCTCATTCGTCTGCGAGATCAATTCAAAGCCAAGACTCAATGGATTTCGAGTGTGACAAATTGAATTGAGTAATTAAGATCAGAACGATTGATAGCTTTTAGAATTCTGACAATGAATGTGTTGCTCTCCCATTCCTCAGTGATTCCTGATAGATAAAAACAGACAAGGATTTGAAGTATTAAAAACAATAATCTGTGAAACCAAGACTCCACAGTTACCTCATCCTCCAACATTACCCTTAATTGTTCTAATGCCTCCAGCAAACCCGCTACAGAAGAAATCCCTGACACCCAAAGCTCCAGACAGTAAAGAACCTGCTGTGTCCTGGGGCAGCCTGGTACAACTTGAGCTGTGTCATGCTTGGACTCCCTAACAGTGCCTCCCTTAACACACACACACACACACACACACACACACACACAAACATACGCTTAAACACCCCTCAGTGCCTGGCACTGAACACACACAGGCACACAACAGACCTAGTAACTCAGAGCAGGCCACCTCTGCAGCTGAACCAACTGCCTCCACATCTACACCACTGGAGAGAGCTTGCCGATTGCATTATGGAACGCATTTAATGCAGTTATACATATTCAAGGAAAAATTAAGAAGTTGTGTAACAGTTGCATGTCTAAAATGTACACTTACTGTAACACAATTTACAGCGGAAGAAGGCTTTCTGTTTCTCAAAATAAACCCCTAGTGCAATTAAAACAGCTCTCCAGAGAAGAACAAAGGGTGGGCTATTATCTGGCAGCCCATCTTGATACCACCCTTAAGGGAGAAATGTACCTTACTATGGAGGAGATGTAATCTTCATGTAATTGGTTTGTTGAAATGCTCACTGCTTAATCTATGTAAAATGAGGCATTCTGACAGAGGTGAGAAAACTCGGTAATGGGATACTGAAACTTGTCCATTATACACTAAAACTAATCTGAGATTCCTTTGTTTCATGTTATATCTATACTGTATAAGCAGTAACATACAGTATATATGCAGTGTGTATACATACATACATGCATACACATACATACATACACATACTGTACATACATATATATATATATATATATATATATATATACATACATATACACAATATACTCACGTAAAGTGATATAAATAGCAAATCTCAAGTGCCTGATTGTTTATATTATTGCAAAATGTTAACTACATTATCGCCCAGCTCTTTATTAAAAGTTAGATATAAGTGGATGTATATAAAAAAGGTGTTTCAACTTAAAAAAGTAAGTGTTAATGAAGCAATAAACACAATTATGTGTTCAGTGAATATATCGTTACAAGTGGCACAAATCCATACATATTCCTAAAATGGACACCAATAGAATATTATAGAAAAGCCCCTCTGCCAGGCAGCTGTATTAAATCAATGACATCATCACTCTATTTGATGCTGCAATACTGTCAAGTCCACATTGTTGCACAAGCATTATTGGAAGTTATACATTGAATAGTCCCTTTGCTCCAGGGTCTATCATTTGGATTATGTCACCCTGTACATAAACTACAGCCTGGAAACATTCTGGATGACACATTCATAAGTACCATAACTGTACAAATGATACATTAAAAGGAACAAGATGGTACTGTGAGCTAATTACCCATGGAAAATGCAGCTGAGCTCGGTATTAAAAATGAACCGCTCTCTAACACACACTTACATTATACACAGTGCACAACATACACAGCCAAATACACATCTATAAATACATCCATGCACACATAAATCAAAGCACATCCCTGATAAATTAGGTTATCTCACATTTCTGAAGTGTTTGGGGCAAACATCATAATGACTATGTTTACATGCACATTATTTTGCTATTATGTTTATATTCTGGCATCCATAAAAGACATTTAAGCATGATTTTGCCATTTATTATGCTCCATAACAGTAACTCAATCAACTCATTGATGTCTTTAACAACAAAACACAAGAGTGCATTAGAATATCAGCATATTTACATTTTTGCGCAAGTAAATGCAGCCAAGATGCACATCATCTTCAATAGACTGACATTTCACAACTATCTTTAACCTTATTATTGATAATGGCAATCAGGTTAATGCACTTTCTTGATGCTTACGTAACCAGAATACACAACCAAATTCTGATTAATGCTGTAATATTATTGAGCACGTAAACGTAGTCATTGAGGCTGTGTAATAATATATACACAGATGATGTCAGTTTCAGGGCAATGGGCCTAAAAGTTAATGTCACTGTATAAACATTATAGCTGGTTACGTTTTTCCCTCAGTTACCATAATCAAAATCTGACCCGAACGTGAGGCATAAAAACATAAACAAGCTTTAAGCGTTCACCCTCCCTCTGAATAAAAAAGAAATCTGTTCATTTTAAAAGCCTGTTGAACTGCTTTTCAAGTGCTGAACTTACCATTGGCATTTTTCCCACATGTGAGGTGCTGATAGGGCAAAAGGAGGCCGTACAACTCCGAATCATTGCTCAGAGCCTGCTCAAAGGATTCCAGTGTGAATTTGGGGATCCCGTTATCCTTCTCCACCACCGAGCTATTCAACACCCGGCTGAAGACCTCTCGGAAGAGGCTCTCCATACAAGCGGTCAGGTATATGGCCGCATGCTCGTGGATGCGAGCAGCGACCCTGCTGTCCACCATCCACCTGAAGAACCTCCCCACGGAGAAGACCAAGCCGCATCTCTCCGATTTCCCCCGGCTGAATTTATCCTCGGTGCTCATGTTGTACATGGACAGCGCGCTGAGCGCCGCGGCGATGCAGTTGACCGAGATGGTCCACGATAGGATCATCTTGATGGCACTTTGGACTTCGTATTTGGTGCATTTGCCGTAGCGCAAACTCAGCCGCTGCGCTTCCCTGGCGACCCTCACCAGCGCGCGGCTCACGAGCGTGGAGAGGCGCGCCAGCAGATCCGCGGACACGGTCCCGAACCTCAACTCTTCCTCCTTGTTGAGCGCGTTCTCCACCTCCCCGAGGCTCCAGAGCATGTTTGAGGACAAAAAGCAAGGGATCAAATGAACACCTGTCCTCTTCCCCATTCTCCCTTTCAGATGGGGCTCAGAGTAACGAGATTCCTGTTCATTAATAATGAACAGTATGCATAATATATCAGTCATCTTGAATAGAGGCTTCTTGTGAACTTCACTCCCACAGTCTGAAAAAGGTCATGTGTTTTCAATGTAAAACGAAGGATAAAAATGAGACACACCAAGCACTTCCTATTTTCCTAATAGCTAGGACTAATGCAGTGAGTATATGACACAAAGGAAAAATACTAAATAATAGATCTAACTCAAAATGACATCAAGACATTTGTTTACAGACTTAAGAGATTGCAATAGCATAAATCAGTGACTGTAACAAAAGAAAGAAAAACAAGATGCTTTTAGAGCTGAAATACACTTCATCACTTAAGTGTTTTTTTTTTAAACCTGCTTTAATAAAGAGGAGACCATATTTTACTCAACACTGACCTCTTTGGACAACACTCCTCCAAAAACCTGTGGCTATAAGTGATACAGTTTGAAAGTTGTTTCTGCCAAGAGTAACCGGTTTTCCTTAATGAAACGCCTTGAACCTCAGAGTTTTGTTACATTTCTATTTTTAATCTGATAATTAACTTGTATCTCATAATTATTCTATTAACAAGTATCAGATTAACAAACTATTTGAGATAAACTTGAATTTAGCATTTTGTTGTGGTAGACTGCCATCTAGTGTTCAACCAAAACAATCATCATATCTTATTCACTCAAACGACAATAATAATAGTCTGAGCTGAGACATCAGTCAACGAGATTACAGATGACCCCCATTCACCTGAAATCTGTCAATAATTTCTTAAGGGATGAAAGATATAGGTTATATCAAGTTGGTTGACTTTTAGATCTGTCCAGACTAATTTCCATGATTAACAACTAAAATGACCATCCTTGATTTTAAATCAGCAGTAATGCAGTAGCAAGGAGGCTTGATCTTTAAATGATAAATCGCCTCATTTACTTTATTGTATGTTAATGTTCTCTGTATCTAAAGGAAAGCACAGACCCAATCAATAAAGTAATTATGTCTTGGATCAATGTAGTAGTTCCCTTTGTGATTTGTAATGTTTTCTCAACATGCTGATCAGTATACAGATGATAAATCAATTAGACTATTTATTGTCTCCAAATACAAGATTTGCATCAAATGAACTATCAATACTGATGTGAAGAAAAGTAATATCAGACTAAAGTGTGAAAATATATATTATGCTACATTGATAAATCAAAGTGATCAAAATTTTCGCTGTTTCCATTGCCTAGGAAAAAAAGACCAGCAGTTGTGCCTGATGAAGACCTGACTGTTAGGTAAATACATTTTTGGAGCTGTAATTTCAGTGTGCGTACATTATTTTTTCTTTGTTTATTATTTGTTATTTTTTATGTCCTGCACCTGAACCTAATTTGGGTGTTTTGAATGTCAACACCTTTTTGCATTTGCTTGATTCCAGAAAAAAAGATAGCCTACTATGAATAATGTCAACCTTTTATGATAACATGCTCCAATAGTTTAACATATCATATAATTTACGTTCTATGGGGAAACTGCCCTTATAAGAAACTATTGCAGGCAATGCAGCAAATTTTAAACAGTAAAATAATTATTTTTAAAAAAAATACCTAAAATTAAATTACCAATAATGGAAAAACATTGTTTTGGCCAATAAGCACTGAAATTAATAAACCAAGGCTTCATAAAACTTGTATAACATGTGACAACCCATTCTGGTGTTTTTGACTGCCACTCTCTACAACACATTCCTGCCTTTATTACGTAGTTGCCTCAATGTATGCCAGTATGGTTTCATTTATTGGACGGTTTTGCACAAGGTGTTTGAAACCAACAAACAAAATTATTGATAGAGAAAACAGATGTGTTATTGGACTTTTGACTCAAAATTGACTGAGCCCTCCAGACAAACTATCCCCAGTCAGTCATATATAGTAGCTTATTATGTATTATAACAATTACATCATTTATTATTAGATTGCTACTAGTTTACCATAAATTGAAGTGAACTTGTGGCCATAATATTTTATAGAGTTTAAATTACGTCCTACCACTGGTGCACAAATATTTACCATAACAAAACTCATCTGTTCCCTTGTGCCCCTGTTCATGTGCCTATCCGGGTACTCACGTCCTGTCCAATCAGAGTCGAGCAGTAACATGGGCACAAAGAGCTTTTTCTATGCATTTATCTAAATGCGCTATTATTTTAAGTGACCTTTACACATCATGGTGAAAAATAATCGAGAACATGCCATTAACTTGACGAAATCTACCTCATCTGTGATGTTATCAGTGCTAAAAGTGCGGGTCTGCGCGAGCACGCCGCAGAAACGTGATGGTCTATTACGTCTGCCGTGCGGCTCTGACCAATCGGCTGCGTAGGTGCCAGTTTGCGTCAGCGAGTGGGCGGAGTCGACTAATGGCGATTCACGGGGTGAATTAAAAATTGAAATTCAACTAAAGGACAACAACAATCGTGTGAATATTCATTGCTAATCGACGCCTGTACTGTCATGCGGATAGAGAACGTGTACTTACATATGGAATTAATCTGAAAACGCAAATATTTAACGTTTTAGGAAGAAGTTAAACGGCTGTTGTTTTTTCTTTCTGTCTTCGCAAGTCCATGTTGACGTTCGCGTGCTTTCTTTGTTGAGGTTTTCTTGTGCGTGTTTTTATATATATATATATATATCCGTCAGTTTTACACTTAGTGGTGCGTGTTTTTGTCGAGGCGTACGGTTCTAAACACACTGTAAACTCGCTGATGCACCAATAGCATCTGTCTGTCGTGTCAATCAGGATGTGTAAATCAACTATATGAATTTTCAGCAGGCACGAGCGCAGAGATCCAGCTTCAACATGAGAAAAGTTTTTCTTGAGCAAGGCTGAAGAAGACGTAACCAGATCAGACTTTATACCTGAACTGAGAAGTCCGGGTTTGCCAAGTTTGGGAGTTGCTGGAGCATTCGTGATCTCAGAAGGGACTGCGGTACATTAGGAATAATGGTGGTCAATACGATCCACTGGTTCAGGAAGGGCTTAAGGCTCCATGATAACCCATCTCTGCGGGACTCTATAATAGGAGCCGATACTCTGAGATGCGTTTACATACTGGACCCCTGGTTTGCAGGATCGTCCAACGTGGGAATCAGCAGATGGAGGCGAGTTTCCTTTGGATCCGAGCACGTGTGTGTAGAGAACAGAGGAGAGCAGACATCAGGTCCTGTGACACTCCCCTTACTTGTTAATAATAATAAGTATTTCAATAGTAACTAGTATATTTTCACTTTCACTAGTAGCCATTCATAGTGCTTATTTGTCATTACTAGTAGTAAGTAATCCAATAGTAACTAAACTAATATACTGCTAGTAATTTAAATGACTAGAATCTGTTGAATTAGACACTAGTCATTTGCTACTAGTCATTTAGGGATAGTTGCTAGTAGTAAATAACTATTGTCTAATTTAACAGATACGTTAAAATTTGTAGTATGTTAGCAGTTAAATTCTATGTCAGTCTATGGTTTAGATCAGTGTTTCCCAACCGGGGTGCCGTGTAAAAAAAAATTTTGTAGGGTGCCACAAGTTTGTTAAAATTTCCAAAGGGTGCCGCGACAAAAAAAAGGTTGGGAAACACTGGTTTAGATAATAACTGTTCAGACTAGTATGTATTCCAGTCGTTGTTAGTGCCTTTTCCAGTACTACTAGTAATTAGTCATCAGGTACTAGTATTTATTCTCATGTTCTGTATACTGGTACCCATGTCTTGTACAAAAGATATTAGAATAAGCACTAGCGAAACTAGAATAGTTAGTGACGAAAGTTACTAGTATAGTTTCTTGTGAAATCTGAAAATGTACCAGCAAAAACTGGAATACATACTAGTGAAGTAAATAACCATAGACCCACATAAAATTCAGTAGCATAAGTGCAAAGTTTGTTACCAGTAAGAATGGAAATAGTTACCTGGGGCCAATATTTCTATCATCTATTCAGTTAGCGCTAGCAATTTCACTAGTGAACATTTGAATGCATACTACTACTGTACTAATCAATAATACTAATATTGATTGAATACTAGTCTCTCTCTCTCTACACACATACATAGTGACTAGTCAATAGTATCTGTTTTCAATTTCATTAGCACACATACACACACACTTATGTGACTTAAAAGCTGAATTGAGTGCAGATCTGCATCTGAATGGTGAGAGTGACATCTTATACCTGTCTTTTTGTTTCATTGTTTGAATATAAATAGCTCAGTATGTAGCAGAGTTTCTGTAAGCTGTGCCATGCTGTGTAATGAGAAAGTTTGTGTTTATAGTAAGTAAGAAGCTTTACATTGCCAGTTGGTTTATTTATATGCTGTAAGCTTATTTTTCAATTAAAATTTTACTTGGTGGCTATGAGGAGCCTTTTCTTATGTAGATATCTTAAAGACCATTTAATTAAGTTTAATTTGTGATTGTTTTACCATTTTGTAAGGACCTGTACAATACCAAAAGAGTAAATACAAACTAACTGCCATTCTTTTTGCCTAATGTTAGTGCTAGGCGGATATATCTTTATAAGAGTATACTATGTGGTGGGATATCCTTGTGAGATGCTTGAGCGGTCACCCTCATAGCAGAGTTGTGATGTAACGTACAGCTCAGCCACCTCTCCTCTCCCCTTTGGTGCAGGACGTGAGGAAGTAGGTCAATGTGTTAGTAGATGCTATTACCTCATTCTCCTTTCAGCACTGACCTACTTTTCCACCTCCTTCAAACAGCCTCTTGCCTACGGTATGCCAGGTTGCTAAACTGTAATTACAGTACAACCCACGCAAAGGCTTCTTTTGAGAGGTCACGTGTATAATTTGTCCCCTGAATTGACCTGCAATACTTTTGTTCTTTTGTATTAGGTCTATGTGTCAAAGACAGCCCAA